TGCAATGCAACCTAATCAAGCATGTGACGAAATGCAAACTAGCAAGCATGCAAAATGCAATCTAAACGTACCAACATGCAATGTAATAGGCATGCGACAACAATACCAATAACAAGGATGTGACAACATGCAACGCGATAAGCATGCAACGACACACAAACCGCATGATCTATGAACTTACATTGAAAATGGATAGGCCTCAGCCACGCCAAAAAACAGTAGCCAAGGTGGTGAAGTGATAAAATGAAATGCACAATGAACATGCACATGTAATGGTCCAAGAGTTAAGGCATAAGGTCACAACACCCAAACATGAGCGAGGGGTGACAATCACGGTAGTATGGTGACACCATAAGCTCTGAAATTATGTTAAGAGTGATGCCAAATCAAACACATAACACAAGCAAGGCATGCTAATAGACTTAAAGTTCAAAGCTAGCCAAGGTACTTGAACCATGGCCATGTCAACCAAGCCCCAAAGGACCAAGGTGACCCAAAACAGTCCCAAGGAAGTCCAAAACAAGGCTAGAACATGCATGGGATGAGGCCAAAACATGCTAGAAAGGTGAGCACAAAACAAGACGCATACAAGGTCAAAAGGGGCGATTGCATTACACCTATTACAACCAAACACGGCACGACTTAGGCCAATAAAATCAGAGTTATGACATGTTAGAAAGAGCCCAAAAACCCACTCAGATGGCATCCCAAAGGCCTAAGTATGATGGCATGCACAATGACCTATTCTTAAGGCATGAAACACAAACTATCCAAAGCATGGAATAGGTGATAAATGCAAGTGTACGATCATGAAACATGGACTGAAATTACATTTCACATGATGCCAAATCATGAAAATACTTCAAGTAACACATGCTAATGAACTCAAAGCACAAAGCTTACAAGCTAGAATGAACCAAGGCTATACAAAATAATGCATGTATAACCAAGACAACACCGAACAGAGTTTAATCATGGTAAAACATGAGGGAAAGCTCCTTGGAGTCGAGCCAAAACATGCAAGGATAGTGGTCCAAACACAAGATGCATGTTATACAAACATGCAAGATTACTCTACAAGTATGTGAAGCATGCATGATGCCATCAAACCAACATGGAATAGAGTTAAGGCAGGTCCTAAAAGCCACTAAAAAGTGCTGAAATAGAACCATGACATGCTAAGTAAACATGCTACTCTTATAAGCCAACAACAAAGCATATGAGACATAAGGAGAGAGAGGTGTCCCCCTCCTATACAAGACTCCAAAACCACTTCTCCACCACTGAAAATCCTCTGGATTTCAATGGTGGGAAGGTCAAAATAAGATGATCCCAAAGCTCAAATGTAAAGGCACAAAACAAGGCCAAACAAGGCCTAAGAAGGGGTAGACAACCCCCAACCAAAAAGTGACCTTAAGCAACCATAACAAGCATACAAAATAAGAACTTTTTGTAGTTTAGAGTTAAGCTTAAAACAATATAGAAGTATGTGTAAAAGCTTAAGCCAAAATAGGGTATCAAAAGCAAGTTGACTCACCCTTAAAGAACAACTTCAAGAACACAACTCTAGCAATCTTCTTGGATCAAAACAGCCCAAGAACTCCAATATCAACCTTCTAGTGCCTTAGCAACCAAGGATAGTGTAACTCTAGGTGTTTGTGTGCAATAGTAAGAACAAAACACATTTTTGAGCTCAAATACACACACAAATCTAGAGAGAGGGAGATATAGAGAGAGAGAGATATATCTAACTTGTATATCAGATTTCTAGAAGCCTTGGAAAGGGAGAGAAGGCTCTCCTTTTATAGAAAACCAATTTTGTAAAGCTTCTTGGAAAAGCTAAGTAAGGCTCAAATCCCTCCATACACGTGTATGGGGGGGGGGAAATTGTGCATGCTAGCTGTTCCAGCTGGCACAAAATATCTGTCAAAAACAGATGAAAAGGGGTCGCCCGGAAAATATGGCCGATTGACCAACAATGGTGGCCGACCGACCAAAAATAGTGCCGATCGGCTAGCACCTTTGGCCGATGGCAAGAAAAAGAGGCCGATGGCTTCAAGCCTTGGCCGATGGGTTAAGGGGATGGCTAACAAGCCACTCTCTTCCCTCAAAAGCAAAAACACAAGTCTTTGGTCCACAACCAAGCACAAGACAGACAAGTTGAGAGATCTTGAGGCAAGGCACGCGACCGAGACCTCCGGGAACTCAAAACGAACACGAGCATGGATGATTATCGAGTGTTCAGACGATGATGTCCAAGTCTTGAGGACGGTCAAAAATGGGGTGTCTACACACATCCCAGTTAATCCAGTGGAAATTATTGATCGTGCTACCAACGCTTTGACGGAATATGTCCAGTTTTTGCGGAGCGTCTTACCTGAGCAAGCTGGTTTTTCTCTTCCACAAACCAGGCCTAACCGCTGGCAACCTCCTCCTCCTGGTATGATGCGGCCTTCTGCAAACAGTCCACCAGCGCATCCTTAGCCGTAGTCTTTCGTGACTCCACAGGGCAAATTATTGATGGCCACACTATCCACACCCATACTGCTTCAGCCTTCCAAGCTGAGGCCCAAGCCATTCGGTTGGCTTGCATCATGGCCAAACTGCAAAACTGGAGGAATGTGGTCGTTGAAAATGACAATTTGCTAGCTATCAAACTCTGTGTTTCTGAAAATGTGCCCCCTTGGGATAGCTTAGCAGTTTTCTCTGACATTAGATGTATTTCCCAGGTTTGGCCACTGTTTTTTTGCTGGACAAGGCGAACCTCTAACCAGGTTGCACATGCAAGTGCCCTGTCACAACTGCCTGTTAACTGGGTAGCTATACCCCCTCAGGAATTGAGTTGTTTGGCTCACCTAGATGTTTATCCCCCTACATCTTAATATATATTCCTTTTCTGCTCAAAAAAAAAAAGTACATGCAATTTGATCATACTATATAACCTAGCCACTCAAAGACAAAGTTGTTTGGAATTAAAGAAATGTTAGTTCAAAGTGAGTTATTTGTCCGCATTAGATCATCAAATTATTCTTATAATGTGCTATACATATTTATATGAATTCTAATTTACGCCAAACTAAGTCTTGGAATAGATAACCTAAGATGGCATTTTTTGATCGATTAGTATTACCCATAATTGCAAGTTAATTTTATACTAATATGTTCTCTAGCATTGTGTCATGTCGTCAGTGCACGTATAAATCAACCTCTTAGTTGGTTAAGTATTATCTTAATGTGTGGATTAGGAAGACCCTAATACCGGTCTACCTTAAGATATTTTAGTAGAAAACGGAATAATTGGGACCGAGTTAATTGATGAAGAAGCTCATGCATATACTAGTTGTTGGATATCAAACCCTTCTAATCATTAGATTAGCTTCCAATTTAAAATAATATTAATTTTAAAAAAAAAAAAACATTATATTAGCTAGGACGGCCAAATTGTTTTTGAAAAACATTAGAAGTACCCATTTTTATCATTTTTCTTCCTATGAACTCTATTCTATTCTAATGGTTGGTCCAAACCTTGTTGTGTGTCTTGTTTTAGATCACAATGGAATCAGATTCTTTTAGGGTTAACAAGCATAGCAATAAGCCCACACAGGTAGCCCAACAATTGAAGGTTCGAATTTCAAGACGAGCTTGTGAGTTTGACTCTTGCTTGTGTCTTTCGGACTTAATTGTTACATGTAATTTGTCAATTATTGCTAATATTTGGAATTTACTCTATTATTCCAAAAGGCCTATCACAAGTTCCCTCATGATAAAAATAAACAAATATAAGAAGAAAAAAAGTAAGGGTTAAATACACAAATGGTCTCCAAAGTATGCGTCATGTGTCATCATTTTGATTTTCGATATTTCAAATGTGTTAATTTGATTCCTAACATATTATTTTTGTTAATAAATAATCCCTACCTCCAATTTCTTCTACCATTGACAACAGAAGTGTAATTCGTTAACTCACCTATAACCGAATAAGTTGAGAACTAAAATTTACCTATGATCGAATAAGTAGAGAACTGAATTGATACAATTAAAATAATTAAAACATCATAGACCAAATTAAAATAAATCACATACTTTGGAAAAGTTTGGCTAACAAAAAAAAATACACTTATTTCATCTTTTTATCTTTTTTGGGTCACATCAATCAACATCTTCTCTCTATTTTTTCTACACATAATACAAAAAAAGTCAAAAAGTACACTTATTTAGTCTTCCCAAACTTGACCTATATTTGTTCTCTCCTCATTTTGCTCATGTGCTATGTGGTTTGATGCAAATGCCCTTACATTCGTTATCAATTCCAGACAGAAACGAAAATAGGCACCATTTAGTGACAAAATTAATAAATTGGGGATCAAATTAACTTGTTTGAAGTTTTGATAACTAAAATGACATAAGATGCATATTTTGAGAATTAGTTGTGTATTTAACCCAAAAGTAACAATGAGAAAAGGTAAGACTATTTAGGGACCAAAGTAAATTAAAGAAACTTTTCTCAAAAATTCAACTTGAAACTTTATACAACCTGAAAAAATAAACATCCCATATTGAAACCAAATGATACAACTTGAAACTTTTCTCCAAAAAAAAAAAAAAATACAACTTGAAAAAATAAACATCCCATATTGAAGAAAGCTTTATCAGGTATAGAATCAAATTAATCATAAAAATTTGAAGAACCAAGTGCAGTAATTGTTCAAAAAAAAAAGTTAAAAAAAAAAAGGAAAAAGAAAAAAGGTACAGCAAATGGGATTAAAAGGGGAATCCAACAACACCCCTCAAGCCACACAGCCCAGATTTTGGGGAAAGATATTTTGTAGCACACATGTGGAATCAATAGAACATGCATACAAATATCCACAAACTCAAATCCATCAGCAAATTTTCTGAGAATGTTCATGCCAAAAATAAATGAATTTTGCACAGAATTTGTTTGTACCAAAAATTCAATTCTCCATCGAGGATGTCTTTCGTTGAGGACTCTATCAAAGTTAACACAAGTCAAAACCCTACAGTCAAATGAGATTCAAGATGAACTTGACACTACAACAAAAATTCAAGGAATATCTGTTATCACAGTATCAAAAATCTGTTCTACCTGCTACATGAACTTGAAGAGCTGGACAAGCAATTCATTTCAAAAAAAAAAAAAAACACAGATATTGATACACACATCTTTCACTATGTTTGAAGAAATCAACTACAACAAACTGTTAAGAAGAACCACCCCAGGGAATCCACAAGAAGGATATAATAAATCGAACAAATAATACCTCTTGCAGGCAAGCAAGCTGGTGGCTCAAGTGTTCTCAAACAATATAATGACTATCTAAGCACTCTCTTTCAAGTCTTAACCAAATTTTTTATCGGATCCTTTCAGGTTAAGATTGAACCATTTCTTCTTCGATGATTTATCCTTACCATCTGACCCTCCATCTTCCCCCGGGCTCTCAGCCTTGAAATCCTCACCAGGAACTTTACTACTACTTCCATTACTAACATGAGTGCCACTCCCACCACTGACGACAACTGACCTGACTACAGTGAATGAGGAGTGGATAGTGTCTCGCTGTTTCAGTAGCTCATCAACCTGTTCTCCGGAAACAAGACAATGGCAACTATAAGACAAAAACAAGGTAACTAGAACTAGATATAATTACGAGGAGAGGGTAAAGATGCAAAAATCGATGTCTAATAAAGATCTCGAAAACAAAAACTGAAACAAACTTATTACAGAATGCCTATGTATGGTTTAAGATTGCAGGGGGCATAACATGATTTGAACATGGGTTTCACAAATGTTATGGAAACACAAATATAGTTATAATTAACAAGGGAGGCACGCACCTACTGCGCCCGTGATCTATATCAATTCTATTTTTTTTTTTTAATATTTACTTTTTCTAAAGTTTTCGTATCCCTACTTCTTTTCCCACTAATCCACTTTCCATACTATTCTCTGTCAGTGCCAACTCTCAAAATACCACGAAACTTTTTTATGTAAACTGAATCATGCAGTTTTGTTTTATATATTTAACCCTTCAATTAATGAGTAAAACCTAAGCATGACAGATCTTCACCAAATTTAAGATTACCCCCTGGTGTTTCTTTATTATAAATTATAATAGTATAGATGAGATAGGATCCAGGTAATTACTGACTATAATGAGCAAGGTATAAATATCAGCCTATTGTCTTTTACAATATATATATATTTTTTGATTGGCATCAGGGTGTCCGAATCAAAGCCTGATTAATCCCCAGGGGTGCATAGGCCCTTGGTAATGAGTTTCCAACAAGTGCACCACGGTTAATTCAAGGGTTTTCTCTCAATCCGATGGCCCCAAAGAATTGATAGCACCTAAAAACTTTCAATCCCTGAACCTTGGAGGGAACACACCTCCAAGACTCAAGGCCTTGCCACCAGGCCAAACACCCCGTTTTTTTTTTTTTTTTTTTTTTTTTTTTTTTTTTTGTGTAAAATGATGATCGGGGTGAGGCCCGATATGAATAAAATGAGTTTGCAGTTCGTCTTCTGCCTCTGTTTGTTTTTTTTTTTCATGTAAAAAATTATGTATTATTGATTGATTGTTGATATTACAAGATTGATAAATTACAATTCCTATACAATCTATATATAGAAGAAAATGTGGTAGTAGGTGTAGTGGAGGTGATAGTGGGTTAGGTGAAGTGGAGTGTGTGGTGAAGTGGAGGTAGGTGAAGTGGAGTGTGTAGTGGAGTAGGTGAAGGTAAAGATGGGAAATTCTAACAAATGCTATCAGAATTACTAGGCTGAATAAATAGAACTTACCGACTGCTTTTCCTGGGTGTATCTATTGGTCACTTCTTGAAAGCGCGCCAATGCCTACAAGTCATCACATGTGAAAGATACAACCACAAATGTATTGCCAAATACCAATAAGAGCCATCACTAGAAAGTCGAGTGCCATTACCTTTCTGTATTCTGTCTCAAATTGGCGTAGCTCAGTTCTCTTCATTAGAATCTGAGCCTCAATGTCCTTAAGCTTATGTGTTGTATCCTCGTAAGACTTTGCACAAAGAGCCTCGATGAAGTAAGAAGCAGTTTTGAAGAAGTTATCACCTGTGCATATCAGGGCAGAAGTTCAAGTTATAAGGACTTTAATCCTCTTCTGCACAAGAAACTTTATTATACTAATGGTACCAGAAACCGAAAGGAGAAAGGGACAAAAAAGCAGCTTCAAAACTGTGCAGACCATAAACGGCGAATATGTGAGTGCCAGCTTTTAGTTCTCGGACTTCACAAGGTTGAAGACCTTCCAACCTTTTGAAGAAAGCAGCTTCAGGGTCCTTAGCCATTGCCAACTGCGCCACCACATTTGACAAATTCATCATGTATTAAGCCATAACATTGTGAAATATTTTTAGAGAAAAATGGAAAGCAGTAATGGAACTCACATACCGCATTCAAGGTTGAATCCATTCTGTACACTTGAAAATGTAAGAAATACATCCCCGCAGATGTCACTTTGCCAGTTTTCTCACTATCTTCCTGTATGCAGGCATGATATAACAAGTTCAGCTACAAGAGGTCAATACCAAATGCCCTAGGCAAGCATGTTCAAAAGACAACAATGAAAAGATTTGGATGAAATTAGTCGGGCTTGGAACACATTAGCTCATTGATGTAAAAGTTTTTTTAAATAATCACCAGCACAATAAGAAGAGAACAACTACTAAAAACAAAAATCCCAGGCATGAAAGCCACCATTTGGAGATATGGGCTAAGAATTCAAGTCTCATTTATCTATAATATTTTCCTGAAAAAAATAGAAGATACTCTGCACTATTTGACAAATAGAACTTGGGAGTCATAGACTTTGCTACATTTATTTGTAACAAACCAGCGAGATTCTTAATTCCAAATTAAATACAGAGAATGTCAATTAGATACATATTGGAGATTTTAATTCAATGGAGTAGAAGGTAGAATTGGGTTACATTAACCACAAATACTAATTTTAGAGACATGATAAGTTGAAGGGAGTAAAAGTCAAGTATTAAGGGCGGGCTAGATCTAGGTGATAAGCTTGTGTGTGCCACACCTCTAGTTCATACCATGTTAATACATCTATAACAAGTACACTGTTCAAATCATCAAACAGATCAGTGTTGTACAGCACGCAAAGGCGCCTGCCAAAGCACGAGGCAAGGCACAGGTCAGGCACCTTTGGATCTTCTGAAGCGAGACAATGTTCATAAGCCGCAGATGAACCAATAATATTTTATAACTTGTGCCTTGCTTTGATGAGGCGCACGACTCATGTACCTCGCCTCTGCGTGCCTTTCGCTTTTAAAAATAGTTCCACAAACAAAAGCATGAAGCATGATTAAGTAGGATACACATTGGGATATGAGAGCACACATGAAACACATTGCAAGTTTGAAAAAAATAATTTGGGATCCAATGATAAATTAGATTACAATCATACAATCATTTGGCTTTTATAGATTACAAAATCATACAATCATAGATTTGGATGTAAATTTCAAATAACCATGAATACAAATGATCTTTTACATCAAGTTAGTCACAAAAAACATATTTACAATGGTGGACAAAGAACAATTAATAAGTACAGATACGACATGGCATAGACACAACAAGGCAATTTGAAAAAAAAAAAATCATGACACAACACAATAGGTACGCAACATAAATATATGTATTATAAATTTTATTGTTTACTTTTGTGATCTCAACATACAAAAATCATAATGAGTAATGAAGAATAACACAAAGTAAAAAAAATAGAAATAGACTCAACAATGACAATTTCAAAGGGAGATAATGATCTGGAATTGGTTAGTAAAAGAATTGCAACTGAAAATGTAGACAAAATAAGTTCCATTTTCTTTTGGACAATTCAAAGAAATTCTAGCATACAAGTGCCCGTGTTACTGCTAGTATAAGTTATTTATGTACAAAATATAATAATTCATTGTGGGGCATAGCAAAACATTTGTACCAAACATTGTGCACAGCTCATAAGTAGTATATGTACAAGCATGCAAAGGACCAACGGCTTGGTTGCAATAGTACAACACTGAGAAAATAAAAAGATCTTATCAGATTTCAAAGTTATGAGCTTTTCTCTCTCTACCCTCTTTCTAACTTAAATATCAAGTTATCATACAAAAGTGAGACATAAGTTGCGTTATAAAGAATGCAAAATGTGTTAATTTAATGTATAGAGAAATAGAGAATTGCATGTATATTGATTGTATTATTGATTATATTGAATGTTATGTTGAGCTCTCTCCTTTATAGAGGAGATGGAGAACAATTACAAACCGAAAGTAGAAGTACAAACCAAACATTATTAAAGGTACATTATTAAAGGTTTGACAGCTAATATATATACTAATATATACTAACAGCCCGCCTCAAACTCAAGGAGGATAGGTACCAATCAACTTGAGTTTGGAAAGAGTAACAAAAGCAGACACTGTATAGTCGTACCAGACCGTTGGTGAAGACAATGTATTGTCGTGTCGGACCGTTGTACCAGCTAACCGGAATCAATGTCAGGACAATTTACGAGGTCATGCCGGACCGATGTAGAAGCTAACCGGAATTAATGTCGGGATAGTTTACGGGATCATGCCGGACCCATGTAGAAGCTAACCCGAATCAATGTCGGGACAGTTTACGAAGTCATGCTGGACCGTTGTAGAAAATACACTGTATGATTGTGTATATAGGCTGCCCAAAAGATATATATGTATATATATATATTAACACAAAGTAAAAAAAATAGAAATAGACTCAACAATGACAATTTCAAAGGGAGATAATGATCTGGAATTGGTTAGTAAAAGAATTGCAACTGAAAATGTAGACAAAATAAGTTCCATTTTCTTTTGGACAATTCAAAGAAATTCTAATATACAAGTGCCCGTGTTACTGCTAGTATAAGTTATTTATGTACAAAATATAATAATTCATTGTGGGGCATAGCAAAACATTTGTACCAAACATTGTGCACGGCTCATAAGTAGTATATGTACAAGCATGCAAAGGACCAACGGCTTGGTTGCAATAGTACAACACTGAGAAAATAAAAAGATCTTATCAGATTTCAAAGTTATGAGCTTTTCTCTCTCTACCCTCTTTCTAACTTAAATATCAAGTTATCATACAAAAGTGAGACATAAGTTGCGTTATAAAGAATGCAAAATGTGTTAATTTAATGTATAGAGAAATAGAGACTTGTATGTATATTGATTGTATTATGGATTATATTGAATGTTATGTTGAGCTCTCTCCTTTATAGAGGAGATGGAGAACAATTACAAACCGAAAGTAGAAGTACAAACCAAACAACATTATTAAAGGTACATTATTAAAGGTTTGACAGCTAATATATATACTAATATATACTAACAGCCCGCCTCAAACTCAAGGAGGATAGGTACCAATCAACTTGAGTTTGGAAAGAGTAACAAAAGCAGACACTGTATAGTCGTACCAGACCGTTGGTGAAGACAATGTATTGTCGTGTCGGACCGTTGTACCAGCTAACCGGAATCAATGTCAGGACAATTTACGAGGTCATGCCGGACCGATGTAGAAGCTAACCGGAATTAATGTCGGGATAGTTTACGGGATCATGCCGGACCCATGTAGAAGCTAACCCGAATCAATGTCGGGACAGTTTACGAAGTCATGCTGGACCGTTGTAGAAAATACACTGTATGATTGTGTATATAGGCTGCCCAAAAGATATATATGTATATATATATATATATATCGAGCCCTCAAAAGTCGCGCCCTCAAAAGGTACGCCTAATTCATCAAAAGTCGTGCCCGACAGAAATCGTCCAGGGGCGAGCCATCAAAAATCGCGCCGGACACGCGGCGATGCACGTGATTGACAGGGCGTCGTGTCGTCCTCTTCGTCATTGTCTATACAAACTGAGGCGGAGGCTCTGCAAACCAAACTAATCTGAAACCTCTGAACATCTTCGTTCTGAAACACTCTGCAACCAACCCTTTCTGCCATTACCAGTCTGAAATCGCTGCTTCTCTGAAACACTCAGCAATCCAGAACATGGCCTCTTTTTCCCGTTCAGCAACCCAGAACATAGCCTCTTCTTCCCGTGGTCCGCTCACTCTCTTTCCAGACCTCAACGAGTCCACAAGAGAGATAACCGGTGCAATTGCCCTTGAACCTCAACCAAGTGCCCCTGGTTTTGCTCCGTTGAACTTTCCTATGTTGTCTGTGGAGCAAATAATGGTTGTTCAATCTGATATTGAGGCCAACCATTATACGTTGAAGTCATGTGTGGAGATCATGACGGTGGTCACGAACTTGTCTCACTGGCTTCAGAATAGGACCAGTGAGGTACAGCAGGTAACTGCCTAATTGGCTCTGCTCCAGCGCATGTATAAGGATGCGCGAGCAGAGATATATGTGCTGAAGGCAGAAAACAAGGAGCTGAAACGGAAGGCCACCGTTATGTTCCGATTTGGAGGTCCGCCATATGCTGCAAGTGAGGAGCAATGGGGAGTGAATGTGCTGAGTGAACTTGGAACGGAAGAGAACAATCCCTCCTGTGTGAGGGAGGTTGGTTGTTTGTGTTGGTTTTGTTTTGTTTTGTTGTTTTTTTTTTTTTTTTTTTTTTTTTTTTTTTTTTTTTTTTTTTTTTTTTTTTTTTTTTTTTTTTTTTGTGTGGGGTGTGGGTGTAATGCGGAACTGGAATTGCAATGGAAATGGAGGAGTTGAATTTGGTGGTGTTGTGAATAATAGTCTGTGATGGTATGCTGACACTTTGAGTATTGGATACTGTTGTGTTTGTGATAAAAGAAAATAAAATAGGATAAAATAAAAGAGGAAGAAACGGTGGGTATGGTGGTATGGAGGAGAGACACACGCTGGATACACCCACACAGAACACAAGATAGATAAGATAAAATAGATAAAGGTATTCTATTTTGTGGTGAGGGAGTGGGTGAGTGGAGTGCAAAAAAGGTGAAGGAGGATGGGTTGAAAAGTTGACAAAGTGGCGGATGTCCTTGAGTAGAGAGAGAGAGAGAGAGAGTGAGAAGTGTGTTTTCAAACTGCCAAAAAAGGAAAGAGAGAGAGTGGGTTGAGTAAAAAATATTAAAAAACGTTTTCATCATAAAAAAGAAGTGAGTGGGTAATATTATATTAAGAAGTTGGGTCCATGGAGAGAGAAGTGAGGTCTGGTTGGAGTCTCGAAGGCGGTGACCTTCTCAGCGATGAAGTCTCAGCTGTTTGTGGAAGCACTGAAGGCCAACGACGCTGTAGAGTTCTACAAGGCCGCGTTTGAGAGAGAGAGAGCCCATGAGAGGGAGCTTCGGTAGTGTTCATCGCCATCAGAGAGAAGAGACCATCCTCCCTCAAATTAATGGTGTGTTTTGGTAGCAGCACGGCAAGGGTGAAATGCCGATCGCGACGGGAGCGCGGCAGAGGCGTGGAAGCTCGCCGACGAGACAATTGGTGGTGAGCCTCGCCACGTGGAGTTGTAGTCAGAGCCACCACCGATGGCGACGACGAACAGTGAGGAGGGAGAGAAACCCGATGAGGAGATTGAGGATGTAGATTCCAAAGATAGAAGATGTCACTAAGCCATCAGTTGTCGATGACAGTGCGAAAAGCCAACCACAGGAGCAACCAGAGCCAGTGGGTTTTGTTGAGAAGGAACTCGAGGTGGAGCCAAAAGATCCAGTCGGTTCGAGGTGGGTTGGTGGTGATGGATTGACTGGGTGAGTCAAGGACAGCGACTCGAAGGAGTTGGGCGTGAAGGTGGTGCTGGTAAGTGGCTGTGATGGTGGTGTTGGTTGTAGTTCGCCATGGCCGTTTCTGCTAGAGATAGAGAGAGATTGTGGTTGTGGATCATAAATTGCCATGTAAAACGGCAGCCCACCGACGTCAATACAACCACCATTTTTGCCAACCCCATAACAGATTGCAGCACTGTTGCAGTGTGAAGAAGGGGAAGCAAATCGCTATGGTTAAGGTAAGGGAAACAGATCAAAGTGATGGATATTGAAGGAAGAAGATTGAGAGAGAGAGACAATCCATGCAAAAGAGAGAGTGAGAGACCTTGTGTGTATGGTTTCCAAAGAAATGCTCTCCCCCTCCAACCCGAGACAGAGAGAGAGAGACCATGTATTTATATCTTTGTTACCCCATGAGAGAGATCGATCTTTGCATGTGGAGAAGTCACCTCTGGTGGCGGCGGCGAACTGGAAGCTATATGTATTGATAGAGATGACAGCGGAGTAGGTGGAGGTCCGGCGGGCGGCTAAGGTGAGGTTGCCGCCCGCCAGTGAAGTGAAAATATTAGGTTCTAAACCTGCTTTGATACCATGTTAATTTAATGTATAGAGAAATAGAGAATTGTATGTATATTGATTGTATTATTGATTATATTAAATGTTATGTTGAGCTCTCTCCTTTATAGAGGAGATGGAGAACAATTACAAACCGAAAGTAGAAGCACAAACCAAACAACATTATTAAAGGTACATTATTAAAGGTTTGACAGCTAATATATATGCTAATATATACTAACAAAATGTTGTTATTATGGTGGGATAAATCACATAGGACGTGTTCGGAGGGTTCAAGAAGTGTCACCAAAATGTCCACAAAGTGTCGGTGAAGTGTCTTATATTATGAATTTGAGTTTTTAATTCAAACACGTTGAAGAAATGTTGACACGCTTTTAGGAGTGTCAATGTCAGACACGATGCTTCCTCTACAGAAGTGTCCATGCTTCTTGGGAAGTTAAAAAAAAAAAAGAGGGGGATTGAAGGGCACATTGTGAGTGATAACTGGAAAATTTTGTAGAATTTCTTGTTTGATGAAAAGTGGGTGCTCCTTGTGTGGAATTTTGTAGCTGGAGTATCTTGTTTGGTGAACAGTGGAGCTTCTTGCCTGATTCAATCTCTGTTCCCAACACGCAATGATTATACCGTAGCTTGTAGCGTTGTATGCCTATGCTAGTGTCTTGTCACTAAGCTTGCATATGATCAATGAAGTGCTCAATTTTCCCCAACAAACATATGCTTCTGTCCCAGAGTCTACTTTTCTTTGTGCTAATACCTGAGCAACAAACTAATCTCTTGTGTTTGCTTGAGCCTTGCTAACACCATCAGAGGCTTGGAGGTCCAGCAAGGCAAGCTTGATAGCGCACCACATGAGCTTTCAGCTATTCTGCAGGCCCGGTATGTGATAGATGATAAGCATGTTCAGACGTATTGTGACATCTCCAGTGGAAAAAAAATGGACTTGGTTGGGCATGTGACCAACACATGTCAGAGCGTGTCTTAATGCATGCTTGTGTCGGACACTGGCATGGGAGCAGGATTGCAAATGACATGCCAGTGCTTCTTTCCTTAGATAAACAACCACCAGCTATTAGCGCAAGTGATATATCCTACTATCCCCCAAAAGGGGAAATGCAGTACTTTAGGGAAATGAGTCTATCTTTACTAAGTAATTAAAAAAAAGATTTTTTTTTTTTTAAAGCATCACGCCAATCAGAGAATAGCTATAGAGTAGAAGGAGAAAGGGGGAAAAAAAATAAATAAATAAAAAAACATGTATAATACCTGTAAAGCTAAACCATATCCACCATTGGCATCGTGTTCGAAATAAAGTAGCTGTAAATTAAGTAAAGGCAAAATATTAATTTTCTAGTTTTGCACATAACACTTTGCAAGAGAAATTGCCACATTACAAAACACACACAAGATAGTCAGCCAAAATGGTAGTGTATATTAATGTACCTTAAATTTGCTCTGTGCAGCTGATGTAACTCTAATTACAATTCCTGCCTCAGCTTGTTCCTCACTAATAGTAACACCAAAGAAGTGGGCACATTGCTTTTCTACCTGCAGTGAATCTAAACAATAGTGAAACTGAAAAACTATGTGTTACCCTGATACAAACCAATTATGTATTACCCAGGGACAAAACAAGTAAGCACCTTTCCACTGACTGATGTTCCAAGCGGAAGAGGTCTGACTGTGACAGTTCCATTTAAAGCTTCTTCAAGGACATTAGCAGAAATAGTAGTCTTGATAGGGACACCTAGCTTGCTATAAACAAAATTAAAAAGTAACTAATACAAGCCACAATAATAAAAGGTGCCTCTACATTTCCCAAAACAAAAAAACAAAAAAATCACCTGAATAATGCTGCGAACATTGTGTTAACTGTTCCAAGGTTAGAAAGATCAATTTCCATATCCATACCTTCAGCCTCAAGAGCCTGTTCATTTAGTTTTATAATCAAATGTCAAAAGCATTATAATAAATAATACATCAAACTAGTTAGTAAAAAAACTTGAAGGACACAAAACTTGGAAAATACTAATTTTTATTATATGAAACAAAAGGTGCTTAAAGTGGATCGATAAAAGCTAAAAAGGAAAAGCAAGCTTAAAAATCAATTGACTCTGGTAAAACTACATACAAGATTCATGCCCCTTGTACACGAAAAAAGTTATTAATAAGTGATAATTATAATGTCTTTTTGAACCAATAGAAAATCTACCAAAAACTTGCAAGCACAGAAAGTTCATCACCCAACATCAAACAGAAAGTTGGATGACTAAGCAGGAGCATTTCTATGTCATCACCAAAAAAGCTCCTATTTCTTGGGTGTATGTAAGAATAGCAAACAGGAGGGGAATATAGAACCACACACCCAGGCACACAAAAAAGAGTTTTACAGCATATGAAAAACCATCTAATCAGATAAGATGTGGACTAAAACCCAAATCAACTCCACTTTGGACTAGTTGAATACAACAAAAAATCATAAAATTTCAAAATGCTAGCCATCAACCAACACAGCAGATTGGAAATTAAAATAATCTCCTAAGCTCAACTAATTGGATGACCCAAATCATGTTTAACATGTCTTTACTTCCATAATTGAAAAAGATACCACAATTAAAAATGGAACCTAAAAATTTTATCCTTGAAAGCAGAGAAACTGACCAACTTACAATCTTTCACAATTTTCTACAGATTTACTATCATGTCTTCCTGATATCTAAGACAGCACCAAGCAAACATGGGCATTTTGTAAATTTGTTGACACGCCCACACCACACCACATAGCCTGTAACCACTACATGGGGTACTTCATACATCATTCTAATCCCTATTAGCCCTTCAACATGTATAGAAACTAAAATATTGATCAGTACAGATATCAATAATGATGATTCCACGTTTTAGAATATAGGAGTGCTGCATCTGCTGCTTCACATCCTTGGAAATAATATACCTTTCCGTATTCTCCATTTAGATGGTTACCATTCTTATATTGCAATAGTTTCAAATTCATCAACTCAAGCTTCTTGTAGAATCAAAAGTTAGAAATAATAAAATATGACCTCACAAAGTATATGCCTTATTACATAAGACACATACACTATCTCAAGAATCAGTCATTTGGCACAAAGTCAAAACTTACATGACTTAGGCTTTGCAGCAGCGAGCAAGGTTATCTTTGACCATTGTTTTCCAGAACAAATTGGATTAGACAAAAAGACTAGAAAACTAACAAGTGGCTAGTGTGTCGGTGCAGTTTACATATTAACCAGAGTTCTAGTTAATATATATATATATATATATATAGAGAGAGAGAGAGAGAGACCTTGAGGTAAGGGGGAGGAAGGCAAACAATCAAGAGCCTCAACCACATCATAATTTTAGCAGATTTTCACCAAAAAACCAGCATCTAGTTAGCAAAATACCTTTAAGGAGTACCAATACCGAATATTGATACCCTTCCAATGCTCCTTAAATACTCCCAAATACATGTAATCTAAGTCACCTAATTCACTAGAACAGGTGGCGGACCACGATCTAGCATGCGGATTCACAAATTTAGAAACAAAATGTGTCAAAACCGTGGACTCTAACAGTCAAACTCACGATTTTCACATGAGCTTGACATTGGCCTACAAAAAATTATTACCTACCATGCATTAAATGCAGCTGGCATGAGCAGTTTTTGTAAGAGCCCGTGTACAAGCCATTTTGAAGAAAGCTACATGGGGAGAAAAGAATGGAATATATGAAGACATCAAGTTCACAAACACATTACACATGCACTGGAATTCCAGCCAATATTATAGATAAATCACTTTTTTCAATTAAATCCTGATAATATATTTCTGTTCCACAACTTCAGTGCAAAAAGAAACAAATGGTGCCCTCAAATTTTCAAATGATCTCTGCAATTTCAAGGGAACTTAAAATCAAAACTTGTGGTTCCATATAATTACGGAAGCAATTGAATCTGAATTTTAAAAAGGGAAATTTAAAAAAATAAAAAATAATAATAAATAGAAAGAAGAAGAAGAAGAAAGAAAAGAAATTACACTTACATCCATTTCCACCACCACTGTCCAGAAAAAGGCAGGTTAAAAACATTTAAAAAGCACAAAACTCTAACAAAACAGAATATCTAGCAAATGAGGAAGGAAGAAGCGGACCTCAAACCCAGCATTATCATATTGCCTTCTTTTCTCTGGATCTGATAAGATGCTATAAGAAAATGCAACCTCCTTAAAACGTTCTGAAGCTTCAGGATTACTAGCATTTTTGTCAGGATGGTACCTGCACATTACTTGGATTAATAATTTGCCGAGTACATAACTCATATAAAGTTATATTGGTTATTGTCACCATCACCACGTTCGTATATATCATTATTATAAAACAATGGACTATAAGAAGCATGGACACTTCTAAGAAGGTGTTGTGTTTGTGTCCATGTTGAACACCGACACTCATTAGACACATGTCCAAATGTGTCCTACTATTATGTTAATTTTTATAGTAGACCACTCTGCATATAGTTAGGGGAAACACCTGGCCATTGATTAGACTCATGAACACATTACAAATTTAAAGAAAATAACTTAAAATCCAAAAATTTAAAAACAAATAAATAAATGCATACCTATTAACCCCTCTTCCTTCAGACTTTTAATTTTAGCCTTTTAAGATTTCTACAAAGTCCAAAACTTTCAATTGTTTATGAATAGAGCTGTTCTAAAATTGATATTAAGACTTTTTGTTCGCATTTTTTTTCTAATCTGTAGAATATAGAAATGATTTCTAAATATTTTGATATGATAAAATAAAAATTTGTTTGTAATGTTAAAAATGAAGAAATGGTTTTTATTTTCAGTTATGCAAAAAAAGTTATTTATTAATGCTCTATAGTCGTGTCCCTGTAGTGTTGTGTCCTGATTTTTTTGGATGTGGTCGACTTTATTGTGTCATCTCTGTGTCCACCGTGTTCTCTGTCTGCTAAGAAGTACAGACATGGACAGGCGACACGACATAGATATGCCAACACACCAATTTTTAAAAAATGCAAAACACGACACGTGAGGAACACACATAAAATATATAATTCTAGAAGAGTGTCGGTGTCTGACACAAACACAACACGGATATGTTACCTTCGTAGAAGTGTCCGTGCTGTATCCATCATGCTTATTCGTACATTAGCTGTAATTGTGATGGATGCAGTACAACTCATGAAACAGGTGTTTTTTGTATTACCCATTCGTAATTTGCTTTATATTATTAAGAAAAGAAAGCAAAGCAATGTCTCTGAGACCAAAGTAAAATCACAACCAATGACAAAGCCCTCATGCCCCAAAAAGTTTGAGTAAAACATGTTCTACAGCTCATCTGTGATTTATTTATAATTCTTCCAATTCCAACTTCCTCCTCCAATGAAGCTTCCTTCACAAAAGTAACTTCCTTGATCTTGGGCCAATATAATATGCATCATAACAGTACATAAAGAGAAAATAACTTAAAACCCATTTTGCAAATCCTGTAACTCATAATCTCTTTGTACCCAACAAACTAAACCAAATAAAACCAAACTAAATCTCGTCTCCCATGTCAGTTTAGGTCCCCCTAAAATTTCCATTTACAGTAATTATATCTAAACTAAGAAAGAAAAAAAATCGACCAAGTAATCAAATTCAAATGCATGCAACAATCATAAGAATCAAGACAATACATGTTCAAGAAACCAGATTGAAAGCTTCAAGCCTCAGACTTCACAGAACAATCAAAACAAAGAGGGGGAAAAAATTGAATTGAACATATAATGAACTCACTTGAGAGCAAGCTTTCTATAAGCAGTTTTAATCTCTTGGTCAGTTGAATCTCTAGAAACGCTCAAAACCTCATATGGGTCTCGACGAACAGCTGGGGCTGAGGTGCCTTCCATTTTCGTACTACCCATTTTCTATCTCTTTCCCCTAAAGCAGCCCACTGCCAATCTTCTCTTTCTCTCTGCCTCTCTATCTAATTCTATCTATTCTCTATCAAGAATCTCCATTGCCGCTATCAATCAAAGAAGTTGGAAACTCATTGAGACGTTCTTATCAGCAAATCTACAATCAGAGGAATTGAGAAAATCAGACCAAGAAACCACAAGATTTTCACAAAATTCAAAGCATTGGATCACTTAATTTCTTGGGATAAATGCAAAAAAATATTAATTAAAAAAAAATACACATATAAAGAATGAAAATCGAAAAAGGTAAGATCTAATCCGAAGAAAGAGATGAAGAGAATTTGAGATGGGTAGGGTTTTTCAAAATTTACAGGGACTCAAAAAGCGATAGAGAAGTCGGGGGACCAATGAGAAGCCCTTTTTTTCACCTTTATTTTTTTTTTTTGCTTCTTCTTCTTATTCTTCACCTCGTGAAAGAACGTGAATTCAACTTAAACGGTAGAAGAACCATGTCTCAATTCTCTCTCCCTCTCTCGTGTGTAATGCACGTGCGGACAATGACGCGTGCCTCGTTTGATTGCGCTATTAATCCGCCAATAATTTTACCAACAACAATTTCCCATTTGTCGGGGCTTTTTCCATATTAAGCTTACGTTTGGGAAGTGGGTTGATTTTTTTAGCTTTTTGACTTTTTTTAATTATTTTAATTTGAGCTAAAAAGTATGCTTTTGGAAGGACTTTTTGACTTTTTGATTTTTTTTACTTTTTTTGTGAGAGAAGAGTGTAATGATTATGGGTTGGATGTGATGTTTTGTTTTTTTTAACTAAAATAGCCTATTTTGTCTTTTGTGACTAAAATAGCCAAAAAAGTCCCAAAATTTTCTTCCCAAACGTAGGCTCTCTTTTGCATCTTATTTCTCAAACTAGATCTAATTTGGACGGATCTTTCAAATTAGGCTAAAGCGCTATTACAAATTACGCTTTCACTGTTTGGAGCCCAAAATTTGATGAATAGTGAAACTGCTATTACAAAGCGCGCTTTTAATTAAGAAATCGCTGTTTCAAATCGCGCTTTTAACACAAAAAAAATTTTCTGAAAAAACGCTATTTTAAATCGCGTTTTTATTGTGCATATAAATTTTTTTTTTTTTTTTTTTTTATAGAAAACGTTATTTCAAATGACGTTTCTACTGTTGAACCAAGACCAACCCACACTCTGACATACAGAGACACCCACACACACCCAACAGTGAAGCATTGAAATAATATAATTTTTATATATAATAATAATTTATAATAATCAATTATATAATTTTTATAATTTTTGTAAATATAAATTATTTTTAGGTTATGGATGGTTTGATTTATAATACGTATGTAAAGGTACAAATTTTTATAATCAAAAATAATTTTTGCAATTTTTATAATCAAAAATAATTTATAATACGTATGTATTATAAAAATTTTTATAATAATTTATAATATGTATGTATTTACTTTAAATAAATTATATATAATACGTATGTATTATATATATAATTTTTATATATTTACTTTAAATAAATTATATATAATACGTATGTATTATAAAAAATTTTATAATAAT